GTTAAGTGATAAAACTGAAATTCTTATATAAAAGAAGAAAAAAAAAGTCAAACAATAGAAAGATTCTTAAGTTATCTAAATCAGGTAGAACTCACCAAAGTTCTAATTAAATTCTTATCCTTTAGGATGAATAAAGCTTGGAAATTATATTCTTTTCTTTCTATTTTTAACAAATAAAATCCTCACTACTATCTAATATTAACAAAAACAGACATTTAATAGAAAAACTTGAGGATATTGGAGACTCACCAAAGGGAGTTGTACATAATGAGAAAAAAATTCTACAATCTTTAGAAATAGATGATTTCTGATCTAAATGAAATCTATGATATAGCTAAAAATAAGTTGTATCATTACATATTAAAGGAGTAACCTGTTTATTTTCTTCCGCTAAAAAGAAATTCTACTTCTTATTCCCACCAGACAATACATCAGAATGAATGTGGAAATGTTTGTCTATATGTTAATATTGAGAATGTTTATTTCATATTGCTGCACACTTTGTCAATGGGCATGGCACCGAAATAGACAGACAACCTATATTGTTGACTTTATACCAAGCTATCTTTAAAACATGTTTAACAAAATATTCTAACATTAGCAATAAGAAGAAGCTTCTAGATGTTCACGAATTAAGTATGCCCCAATTTATTTACTTAGAAAGGCAAAAAAAAATTCTGAAACTAATTTCTGAACTACTTTTATTTTATGGAGACAGAGTCTTGCTCTGTTGCCTGGGCTAGAGTACAGTGGCATCATCATAGCTCACTGCAACCTCAAACTCCTGGGCTCAAGTGATTCTCCTGCCTCAGCCTCCCAAGTTGTTGGGACTACAGGCACACGCCACTGCACCTGCCTAATTTTTCTATTTGTTTTGTAGAGACAGGGTCTTGTTCTTGCTCAGGCTGGTCTCCAACTCCTGGCCTCAAGCAACCTCCCTCCTGCCTTGGCCTCCCAGAGAGCCACTGCATCTGGCCTCAACTACTTTTAGACCATGAAGCCATGTAAACTAGAACATCATGATCTTTGTTGCAACTGTGCAAACTACAGTGTATTTCAAAAGAATTACACAAATGGTCCAGCTGATTATATATTCAATAAGTCAATTAACAATTTTAGTCTGTTAGCAACCACAGTAGGCATATACAGATGAAGCACAAGTGCAATAAACACTTTGAAAGAATATTGCATTCTAATTATATCTACTCCTTCATTTGACTTTTCTAAATAAAATAATGTATAAAATATAGGCAAATTAAAAGGACAACATAACATTACACGAATAGCCTCTGAAAATTCATTGTAAATAACAATACATTTTGTGAGATTTTAAATACCCCTTAATGTGCTACAAAGATAACACAAGTCTGTGAATGACAAAATGGTCTTCCTGAGTAGGACTTTAACCAATATATATTATCAAAGAAAAAAACTGCTGATATTAAGTCTATATATATATATATGTATATTACAGTACTTGCTACTATTCACTGATGATAGTACAAAGGCAGCTAAATTTTGCTTGGAGGAAAAAGCCTATTTAATATATGGTTAGCAATTTATACATGCAGTTACATATTTTTTTGTGTACTGGAAATTTATATTAATATTTTTTAAATTTGCTTCATTAAAAATTTGACTAAAAATTAATGATATCTCTCAGAAAAACGGGTACAGAACAAAATGAAAATCATACCTGAAAGAGCCAGCAACCCAACTGGAAGAGCTGGTAGTATCAATTTTGTTACTGGGAATGAGCTGCGGAGCAGATATTTTAAGTATTGGTGACTTTTCCCAGGGTTTTAAATCTTCCTTAGAATATGTAGGAGGTATACCATTAACATATGGTTTAACTTTACCCTGGGGAGAGGAAAAAAAAAACATTAAAAAATGTTAACAATAGTAGGCACCTAGTATAGCAACTAAAACATAGTTAGTACTTAATAAATATTATACTGAAGAGTAAAATCTTATGACAATTAATCATCTAGCATTTTCAATTCATGTTCTTCTACACTTTTGTGCCTTAACCAATTCTCAAACCAAATCACTGACTACAATCCAATCATGTGAAAATAAGGTTTAGAGAAACAAGTTTGCATACTAAATTCCTATTTATACAAATAGTAAACAAAAATATTAATAAATAAAAATTGTATAAATAAGATATGAAGCAGTAACTTTAAAATTAACATCCATGACTTTAGCATAAAACTACATGGAAGTTTGGTATAAATGTTATATATAATTTACTCTGAATGTAATTAAAGTTCTTTGAATAAAACTAAAGTCAAACAACACAGACATTTCAAAAGGAATCCTAAAATTACTGCTATTTTAATAGGTCAAATAAGTTATTAAAATGGTATTTCCACTTCTAGGATAAATTCTTCTATTACTGCAAGACATTCACAATATGCCTTTGACCTTTCTTTAAACCTCAATTGCCTTCCAGACCAGCCTTAGTGTGAGTATTAATTGCCCCCAAACTTCTACCATATATTTAAAACACACACATTTACCGTAAGAAGGGTAAATTTCTATTGTTGCACAATTTCCAAAAGTTTCAATGTTTTGTGGATGTATGGGGGTTAGAGAAAAATGACTCTATCTCTGTTGAGTTAGACATTTTCCTTCCCAATAAACAACTATGTAATAAAATTTTAAGGGATATCTAAAAAAAATGCCCTTTCCAGAATTGACCAGACTAGGAATCCTGCAGCTTAATGTCAATTGTGCTAGACTAAGAGAAGAACTCAATCATTCTAGCTTGTTTTGCTCTAGTTAATACCCTGGAGGAAGAAGACTACAAAATTTGAAATTATGCTTATTTTCAAAATCATTTTCTTTGACAATTTTTAACTGGTGTCAACTGACGTTTCACAAAATAAATTTCAATAATTTGCTATAAATATATTTTTCAATATGTCTATACAGTTTTACTATATTTTACATCAATTTTATATTTTAGTTG